TTTTGTATGATATATATTGAAAATAATATAATTATAATGTTATATAATATTATCATTTTACAATTTTGACATATATTCAATGATTAATTTTTTTATTTAAAAATTTATCTGTGATATTATATGCATTTACTCATTTAATAATATATTTAAAATTATAAACTTACAATTTTACATGACTTTATAATTATATCATTATCAAATATAATATATATATATATATACTTAATTTCACCTCGCATTTCCAAATTAACTCTCTATCATCCTCTAATAACAAGAGCTAGAAGATAATAAGTACTTTATTTATTGAATTTATGGAAAGTTGAAGATAAACTGAATTATCATTTTAGTCCAAAATTATATGCAGTCTTGCCATATGGCAAAATGCAGTGGGAACCTTGAGAAAGTGGGAAACATTCTAAATCTTAGATGTTTCAAATCTATCCCCTAAAGAACTCTCTCAGCCACACCTAGTAGTCTCTACAAATTAAATCTCAAAACTAGTAGAGTGTCACAAGTGCAGTAGAGGTCAATAGTGACCGATGCAGGTGGAATCTGTGAAGGATGGTGACCTCTTCTATGTGCCCTGCTGGCTCACTAGACGTGGAAAGTTCAAGAATCAAGTTCTTTAATCATGACTGAAGAAGGAGAGGAAAATTACAAGAACAGTAGTGATCACTTTACTTTTGTAAAGGACTTTAAATTTAATTTAATCAGTAATCAATACTTGCTGTCTAGCAAAAGGATGTGTGAGGATCAGTCCTTTCTCCACATAAACCCTCCATGGCTCCACCTGATCAAGCAAAAGGCAATTTATGAGGACTTGCTTTTGAGAGTTATGCCATACCATCCAAAGTCATGATTATTCCATGCATATGGCTATGAATGAGAATACACAGATGATGTTAAAGATGGGGAAATCCTGTCGAAATCCTGTCTCTTACGTTAATTTAGGTTGAAAGTATGCACTCTTCAACCAAAATCATATAGAAAAACTATTTCTGTTCCAGTGTTCAGTTGAAAAACATACACTATGCAATTCTTTAAGTAGCAGCAGTCCTAGGTGTGAGGACTGAGCTTGAAAGAAAAAGGTGTGTCTATGTCGCATGCATCTTAGATTGTGCACAATGTGCAGTGAAGTGTGATTCAGTTAGGATCAATCTGACACAACGACTCGGTCCAAATCTGAGACCAACCTGCCTATGAAGTGGGCAGAACCATGCCAATTCTGTGTACCTAACATTCAGTGATTAGCATAGATAATGTAGTCTTGGCGGAAAAAAAAGTTAAAATATCAATGTAGTCTCTCAATTTTCAGTTTACATCAAAATTATCCCTCAATTTCAAAAAATATCAAAATTGTTCCTAAACTCTTTTTTTTTTTTATTTGGTTGCACAACGGGAGGTAATCCTCCCCTATCCCTTATCCCTCTTTACTCACATGTCATGTGACTTGAATTCATGACCTCTTATTTTTAACAAAAAGAGATTATTATTGAATTATTTAAATCGTTGGTTCCTATACTTTAAATTGTTAGTACCAAAAAAGTCTTTTTATTAATAGAAATGTTACGTAACTTGTTATTTTACTACAAAGTCAGTTCTTTTCTAAGATACTAATGACGTATAAAATTAAATAATTATATTTTGTCATCGTAATAAATTTTTATTTACATATTAACTTAATATATAATTAAAGTTGAAAAACTAAATTAATATTTGTAATAAAAGTTTAAGAACTACATTGATACTTATTTTCAAAGTTTAAAAAACTAAATTGATATTATTTTTAAAGTTTGAGGACTATTTTAATATTGAAAATTAAAATTTAGGGACAATTTTAATATTTTTTGAGGTTAAGAGACAATTTTAATATAAATTTAAAAATTAAAGAACCAAATTAGTATCTTAACCCAAAAAAAGTGTAGATAATGGCAAAGAAAATCAAATGTGAAAATGAGGGGTGCAATTGTGTCGGCAACCAAACAAGTTCCTAGTGATGCAATCTTTTTAAAAAGGAATGGTGTGAGCAGGAACCTTTTTTTTAGGTAAACGTAAATTTTGTTACCTAAAATCAACAGTCAATACAAAGCGGCACCTCCTTTTAGGGTAGAACAGTAAAAAGAATATAAAACTATCATTAATTATAAAAGTAATTATTAACAACAGCCTCTAAAGTTGAATGCCTACAAATAGTCTCCAAATCCCATTTAGAGGCTACATTGTATGTAATCTGGAAGGAACCGGGCTCTGTAAAACCGAACTCTTTGTCCCAGACATATGTAACAGTGTGTGGAATGGTTACTGCTTCTAATCTGATGGTGTTTGTGTGGATCCTTCTGTTTCTTTCCATCCAAATATGGTTTATGTCAGCTGTCCACACAAGCTTAGGTATGGTTTTATCATTCAAAGCCTTCGTTTTGATCTTATTGCAGAGCCTAGTAGTATTGACCAAGTAGTTATTTCAGGAATGCTAGCTCTAGTAGATACCTCCTGCCAGAGTTGGGCTGAGAAAGAGCACGAGGATAAAAGGTTATCCTGGTTTCAGTCCCAGCTTTACATAGAACACTTTTTGTATCAACAGTAGATGATCATTTCTGCTGCCTTGTATCATAGCTTTTCTTAGGAACAAGATTGGAAAACCATATCAGGTTTCCCAATGGTACCTTGGGTTGTTGGGTCCTTAAAATAGTTCCATGCGTGGCCTGCCTGAAATGTACCAGGTGGAGATGGCAGCCACCACATGTTCTTTATGATCCTGATTAAAAGGATTGGTCCTTAAGCCTGCTGGAGACATCAAGTTCCTTGGAATTTAGAACAGAACATTGTTTGGGTTATGTTCGATTTCGTCCCTAAATTACTGGTATTTTAATTGGAACCCAATCTTTGTTTTCTTTCTAATTGGATCCTTGCATGTATTTATCAGTACCATTATTTTACTAACATGGAAAAGAATCACTGCTCAGAACGTAATTAAAATGAAATGTACAAAAGGAAGAGCAGAAGCAGCCACGGGACTGTTGTCTTCATCCAGCAGAGATATTGTTGTTGATTAGAACGGAACCAAAGGCACAATTTTTAGATTCTCCTCGTGGCCGTCTCTATCTGGGTTCTTTGCGATGGCGGTTCCGGCAGCGGTGGCAGTTAACGGAGGAGCGACGATTGGGTTGGCGTCGCGGGCGTATTTGGAGAGCAGACCAGTGAAGGAAACGAAGGTTCTGATATCGGAGCTTTGCCGCCAATTTTACAACCTCGGATGGGTCTCCGGGACTGGTGGCAGCATCACGATCAAGGTCCATGATGACTCCATCCCCAAGCCTCAGCAACTCGTTGTCATGTCCCCTTCCGGTAACTTTGTTCAATCCCCGCTCCTTCTTTTACAGACACAATGTTTTTTTAGTTATTGATGTGCTTGCTTCATGGTACGTGCTCTCCTACGGTTTTTGGCAGAAGGGTATTTGATTTTGAGCTCAAAATTTGTTCTTTCTTGTGTAATCTTCTGGGATGTATGGTTTCTGGATGACTTTCTCGATATCTTCTCTTCAGCTCAGAAAGTGTTTTATGCATCCTTCTGGAATTCAATTTCGGACATCTGTTATTCTTGAACAAATGCGTGTTCTTTGAAGTCATTTTGGATTTTCAATTTTTGTGCGTTTGTTTGTTCCTGTAATTATTAAATCTTTTGCTAACACTTTAGTTAGTAATTCATGTTTATTGAGCTTGTCTTTTGTGTGATGATGGGTATCTGTTACTCATTTTGAATTACATTTATGTTTATTATTTGCATTTATTTTGAGTATTGGGATATTTATCACTTAAGCTTCATTTTTTGTATTCTCTATTCTTGTATTGATTTATTATCATGTTCCTCTGTCTTCGTACTTGGTTAGGTGTTCAAAAGGAGAGAATGGTCCCAGAGGATATGTATGTATTGTCTGCAGAAGGGTCCATCATATCTTCACCATCTCCAAAACCATATCCACATAAGCCCCCCAAATGCTCTGATTGTGCTCCTCTTTTCATGAAGGTAATCACTAGTTCTACTCTAGATCATTTATAGTTATTGTTTGATAAGTGATATTGATAATCCATCTTAGAGTTTAGTGAATTGAAGCGATTTTTCTATAGATTGGGTATTTAGTTGATGCAACTTACAAGGTTGATATTGATACCAATTTTAATTAATGTTTGCATGATTCAGGCATATCATATGCGCGATGCTGGAGCTGTCATCCACAGTCATGGAATGGAGTCTTGTCTTGTAACAATGATAAATCCACTTTCCAAAGAGTTCCATGTAAGTTCTTTTTTTTTTCTTTTTTCTTTTTTCATTTTTGCTTTTAATGTCATTCTAATACATTTTTATTCTGAGATTGTGAGATATTTTATTTCATATTTCTTCAATTTGTTTCTACCTTTCTGGACTTTGCAGATCACTCATATGGAGATGATAAAAGGAATCAAGGGTCATGGTTACTATGATGAACTTGTTGTCCCAATAATAGAAAATACAGCCTATGAAAGTGAACTAACAGATTCCCTGGCCAAAGCTGTATGTTTCTTTTATGTTTACCTTAGATAATGATTGTTATATTTACTTTCACGCTGATTCATGGAGCAGACATAATGCTAGAGAAACCTTATGATATTCCAAATAATGCAGCGGATATACATGCTTGTTTTCTCAATGCGACTAAGTTCAGTTAATCTCTTGATGGATAATACCTATCAACCTTGTTTACTTCAATATTTTATAATCGATTAAAGCAGGTTTGACACCTATTTATATGATGCCATTCTAATTGTTTCTGGAGGACCTTACAACTGCTCTCTTTCTATGGAGAATAAGAATAAGCCTGATGTTGAAAAGTGTTTTGATTTGAATTTTTACATCCTTACTCATCAAGGTCAAAATTTTCTATTAGAATAATGCTTTCAGTGCTGAAGCTTCCATCGTGTTTTCCAGATAGAGGCCTACCCTAAAACAACTGCTGTGCTTGTTCGCAATCATGGTATATATGTATGGGGAGACTCATGGATCAGTGCCAAAACTCAGGTTTGTGTGACTGATACAAATACTTGAATCCAACTGATCAACTTCACGTGCTTTTAATTCAAGATAGAGCCCTTAGGTATTTTCCTAATTTCCCTCTTGATTTGTTCTTTTCTTATCATTGGAGACATAATCTCTCAGGCTGAATGCTACCACTATCTCTTTGATGCTGCGATCAAACTTCACCAACTAGGTTTAGACTGGTCTACTCCGGATCATGGCTCTATTCAGAAGGTCAATGGAGTTTTAGGCAAAAATCAGAAGATAAATGTGACTGCAAAGGCAGGGACCACAGGCTCCAATTATGAAGCTGAGCAATTGCCGGTAAGACAGTTACTTTTTCTTTCTTCTTTTGGAATGTGGATAATTTTGTGTTTTAGGCATGATGCCCCTTTTCAAAACAACACTGGATCCTTTGAATGGGTGAATGGAGATAAACTGAGTATGCTTTAATTAATTGATTAGAGCAATGTGCTCTATAGGCATTCTCATTCTTGAAGATTATGTGGCTGCAGTGTTGTATTGTCCTGGACATTGAAGGAACTACAACTCCTATTTCATTTGTTACCGATATTCTCTTTCCATATGCCCGTGACAATGTTGGAAGGCATTTGTCTGCAACATATGATACAACTGAAACAAAAGAGGATATTGAGTTGTTACGCTCTCAGGTAAGGTTTCTGCTGGGAGGTTTGATATGATTTGGTTTTTATGGACCATTGAAACTTGTGAAATTGTTTTAAACAATTGATAATGGCATAGTAGCAGTATAACATTTAACACAAACCCCCAATAAGAACTTTATAAGTTGGATAGTTCCTGATGTCTCCTTTTAATTAATGAGGCAAGATTTTTGGCCTTAAAATGTGGACTTGTTTGGCACAGGTTCAAGATGACTTGAAGCAAGGTGTTGCTGGTGCTGTCCCCATTCCCTCTAATGATATGGGGAAAGAGGAGGTGATTGCAGCTTTGGTTGCCAATGTGGAAGCCATGATAAAAGCTGATCGAAAGATTACTGCCTTAAAACAATTGCAAGTAAGCTTTTCTCTGTTAATTGTATTTCAAATTCTACATTTGAAAATGGCTAACATGAATATTATAGGGTCATATATGGCAGACTGGATTTGAGAACAATGAACTAGAGGGAGTAGTTTTTGAAGATGTACCTGAAGCTCTTGAGAAGTGGAATACCTTGGGCATAAAGGTTATTCTGCTTTCTCTCCTAGTTTTTTATTTTCCTGTGAATACAGTTCTGAATTCTGATCTCTTTGTGCATATCTTTTGAATTTGTTAAGACAATTGCTCCAGAATGATGTATATTTACAAATGGTTTTTGGACTGACGTAACTTTGTATAAGAATGCTGGCATGGCATTGATACATTACATAATCGTGGGCAAAAAGGGTATCTGAAAAAATGATTCTGTCAAACCAAAGTGATTTCTTCTTGCAGCTGTTATTACATGCATGATTTGCACTAGTGGCTCCTTATTAGTGTTAAAATCATGCTGAGCCAAGTTGACAAAGTGAACCAGTCAAACTTGACTGGATTCAAAAACTTGTTGCTTGAAACTCACTTGAGTTGGTCATGGTCCATATTTCATACTCAAAACTTGACTCAGAAGATAGTAAGATGCTCGGCATACTCATAGACAGTCAATCTTGACTTGAATAACAATATATTTAGTTCTTTTCTTGTAAAAGAAAAGCTTTTCCCCGGTTATTCACAACTATGATTTCTTGACTGTATATAGAAAAGTGCATTCTCAATGTTAATGGTTTTCTGCTCCTTGGCACAGGTATACATATATTCTAGTGGAAGCAGGTTGGCCCAGAGGCTTATATTCGGCAATTCAAACTATGGGGATTTGAGAAAGTATTTATCTGGGTTTTTTGACACTGCAGTGGGGTAAGTTTGAGTTTGTGACTTGCGTTGATGCTTCTCTACATAAAATATCATCTAGCTGACCTTAATTTCAATCCATAAATCTATGCTCCTCTTTGCCTGCAGAAATAAAAGAGAAACACGCAGTTATGTTGAAATCTCAGAGTCAGTGGGAGTTGATAATCCCTCTGATGTGTTATTTGTGACAGATGTCTATCAAGAAGCCATAGCTGCAAGTGCTGCAGGTACTTTAGCTGCTCATATTTTAAACTTTTAACAATGATTGCTGGCTGGCAAAACCAGCTGGTACTTTATTTTCTTAAGCGTCTATGTTCTTAACCCTTAAAATCTATCTTACAAGGCTATCATAAACTTAAGGTGCATATCTTCTAAACCAGCTGCTCATATCATACTGTTGCTGGTTGTCCAAGCATCCAAAGGGAAACACATAGAGCCACATTCAATCATGATTTGCCCATTAATATATTTATTTCAAATATATGTTCCAGGCTTGAAGGTGGTGATCTCTATCCGGCCCGGAAATGGTCCTCTTCCGGAGAATCATGGATTCAAGACGATCAATTCATTCTCGGAGATCTAAAGGAAGATATTTTCCTTGTGTAATAGCATCAAATTATGTGAAAAATAGGCAACTTTGGGAGACTAAATTCCGGTTTTCCATTTTCCTTCTCTCTTCATCTTCATTGTAATGCTAGTTCTTGATTTGTTTAACATAAAAACCCTGTTTAGATATCCTTGATTAAATGAATAAATGATATCCTTGCTTTCGATATTCTAAATATGGAAGCTACCCTTTTCGTGGAATGAAGCTGATTCTCGGCTGCGGTAAAGAAAAAGGCTTTTTCTTTTTAATTTTATATTGTATGATGAAAGATAATTTTTTATATCATTTAATTTACTTTATTTACATAATATATAATTTAAATTTAAAATATTTTACTTCTTTAAATGAAAATATGTTATTATTGCGTTAGGGTCATTGGCAAACTTGGCTGTTTGTTTGTTGGTAAATGAGTAATAAAATATTAATAACAAATGATTTGTTGATTCGAGTAAAAGAAATTTGACTTCTTTAAAGAAAATATTGAGTTTGAATCTTGTAAATAGAAAAACAGATATTGAGAAAGCTTTTACTTTATGAGATCTGATGCTGTTCAATTTCGAATTATTCAATGTGGTTACCGAATATTAAGAGATTAGTACAGAATAAAATAAAATAAAATACTTGTAAGGAAAAAGAAAGAAAAAAATTTCTTAATGTATTATCTCTCCTTCTGTTATTTATATTATCATCAACATCATAATTCTCCCACGAGAACATCTTATTGTTAAGTGATTCAACCTCCTTATTAGAGCGTAACTTATCCCAGTTGTATGATACATTGTCAAATTATAAAAAAAAAAAAAAAAATCCATCGGCCTTTTTCCATTTTAACCTTTCTTCTGTTCCCATTTCTTCAACTAATGTACCTTGCCTTCCGTTTTCAAAGCAGAAATAGAAGTCGGCAGGTTCAGATATTAAACTCTGATCCTTACTGTTCCCACCAACCTTACCCAGTCTCGTACTCCACAAAATAAATAAATAAATAAAATAAAATTGCAGGTATTCCTTCACTGCTCGAGGAATCCTTCTGGTCTTGGACAGATTTAAACAGGTGGAGGTAGTTAAGGAAAAGCAGTTGAAAAGAGAGATTATTAGTTGGAGATATAAATGTTAATTGATACTATTTCATTTAATTTGAAGCCAATTTCCTTTCTTCTCCTTGCCTTCCCTTGCCCTTACCTTTTTTTATCTTCCAAAACCAGCCCCAGTAAAAATATTTGCTATTAAAAGATTAGGAGATCCATGATACCATTTGGACCATTTTCAAATGCACAAAGCTTAGTTTTAGTCAATTTATTGCAATTTTGGCCAAAACCATGCGATGCATGAACTCTTCAGTTTACCTTAACAAATTATTACACATATGATATGACATTTGAATTTTTATAGACATAAACTCTAAAATTCTCGAAAATAAAAAAAAAAAAATTACTAAAGATAGAACATTTGATGTCGAGTTCGTGTAACATAGTTCATGTAACATAGGTGTTTCAATAACAATACTCAATGGTACTACATGGACCATACAAGTGAGACTGAGGGACAAATTGATGTTTTCGATCTTGTCAATTAAATGAGTCAATGTCCTTTTTCACCGCACTGAAATTTCCTGTTAAATCAGACTGGATTATAATGTAGGAAAAACAAACCCTCATTGTCCAGAGCAAACATTCTACTACAACAATAACTACTGTAGTTGTTACACCAATGCAACAGGGTAAAGTTTTTAACCATATTCATAGTTTCTAAGGTGAGATGAAGGAGTTCAGTGAAGGACAAATCAATAACTTTCTAATTATTAGAGAATTACAAGCTAACACATTATACCACCTCACTGTTATGCTAAAAAATTATTTATGAATTATATATAGGGCAAGTAGAAAGATCAATTAACCAAAAGAAAGTAATCTCAGGTTTATGGTTTTGAATTTTGAGTTCCAATTTCCAAACCAAAACCCAAAAAAGAAAAGAAAAGAGGGGATTGAGAAACAAAGGAAGTAAAATTTACCACGATGAAAGAGAGATCAAATTGTACAGTGGAAGCAGACCATAAACCAGTTTGTCAATAACTCTCAAATTACATGCCTTTTCTTCAAGAAGAAGACCCTGAAACTTTTGGTGAGGTCACCGGAAAAAGTGGCAAAAGCTGAGGCTCCGAGTCCCTAGGAGTCGACATCGGTGATGGGTGCAAGTAGAATCCCTTTTCTGCAATTGCTTTCTCTTCCTCCGATGAGTTTCCCAGTGACGGTGAGGACTTGTTAAAGGGATCCTCGTTTAAGGGTGTAACGGGGCTTAGGACAAGCTTAGGGAAGTCCAAAATGCTCGGTGACAAGATCTCCGGTGGCTTCCGAGGCGAGAAGGAGGCACTACCGACTACACCGGCAGGGAGGAAGGTGTTGATCATGAGAGAGTTTTTGAGGTTGTTGTTTCTTCTCTCATAAAGCTTGAAGTTCTGTTTCTTGGGGATGTTGCTCTTGATGAGAGGAATGGCAAAGGACTTGCAAGGCGACGGATCTTGCTGTTGCGGCGGCAGCGGCGGTGGAGGGTTCTGTTTGCTTGGTGGCTTGGAGGCTTGCTTGACGGTTTCCGACGAGCCCGTGAGCATCTGGACCACTTGTTTGAAGGTGGTAGTGTCTGCCTGTACAAATGTTGTTGGGTAAGGATTTGCATCAGATCTGGAGATGGGTATTGGAGAAATTGGTGGAGTGTGAATTTGGAGGACATTGCCATTGCTGTTGCTTCCATTGCTGTGCGGGGAGCTTAAGGGAGATGGAATTTTTCTCTCTTGTGCTCCCCTTGAGTTGTCCATTAATGGAGGTCTACCTTAGTTTACACCCACCACCAAGACCACCCCTTGAACAAAGAACGGAGAGATAAAAGAGTTGGATTTGGTTTAGAGAAGAAGAGAGAAAGGAGAAGGGAAAAGTGAAAAACAATGGTTTTAAAGGAGGATGATTCAGTTTTGGTTTGTTTTATTGAGGAAGAAACAAGGGTTTTGGCATTTGTGTTTTATTATTATTATTTTAACTTCCTCTTTGAAGAGGGAGGATGGATGGTTCCGTTAACAGATTCTTATTTGGGATCTTCTCTTAATGGAAAGTTGAGTTACATTCATGGGTAACTAAATGTTAATTTTATAAATTAAATTTTAATTTTAAGTTTTGATATTAATATTTAATAAAATCAAGTTTTTTAAATGTATTATTTTAATGTAAAGATATATTTTTAAAATTATTTTAAAAAATTAATTTTAAAATATATAATGATTAACCTCATAATACCCTAACGGTAAATATATATATATATATAAATCTTCATTGTTACCTAAACTTTTATAACATAAATTTTGTCTATGATCCTATCATTAAAAAGTAATAATTAATTAATAAGTAAATTGGAACGGGTGAAATATATGGTAGGTGCCTTATGTGATATGACATTGACAATCTCAAAATTTTGACATTAAACCTAAAATTTACTACCTGTTAAGTTTTCATTGATTAAGATAGGGCTGACGTGGTTTCTCATTACTGAGCAGAAATTTTTGTTGTGCGGAAGGGTAAAATAGAGCAAATGGGGGCAAAGGGAAATGGGACTTTGTTTTCATTGGGGATTATAGAAGAAGAAAGGGGATTGGTTGGATATGAAATTTTGTTGGGGGCATTAACATACAAAATGGCAATTGGCATTGACTTCAGAGCCCTGACTATGCATAGACACTCTTGTGTTTGGGATTGCAGATGGTGGTGATGATGATGTTGATGCCCAATTTTCGATCCAAACATCACACCGCATCCCTAGTCAGTAGTCACCACACCATTTTTTGAAGGACCCTAGTCACCATACTTTGCTAGTACTAAAGTTATGGTGCGTGCATTTCACGCCTCAATTAAAATTGGTTATACAATAGGCCTGTTTGTATGCAGCTTTCAAGAGAAAACCCCAATCCTCCAAAAGTGCTGTTTGCTTGCATTAGAAACTATTATTTGATGTTTACTCTATTAATTTTTTTTTTTTTTAGTTTTCCTTTTAAGGGTCTAATTATGAAATACATAACTTTAAAAAGAATTTATTGTTTTATTATTTGAATTGTATTGAATTATAAAATAAAGACACTTAAATGAGGGATGACCTCCGATATCGGGAAATTTATTTCTCATTCAAAAGTCAATACTTTATAATTTAAAATAGTTTAAATTGTAAAATAATTTTTCAATTGAAAAAAGAAAAATGAAAGTTTAGTTAACTAAATACTCAACAACAATTTTCTAAAGTAACAATTTTCTAAAGTAACAATTTTCTAAAGTAACAATTTTCCCTAAAAAGTGTACTAATCAAACACAGCCTATTGTTGTTTAATCAAAGTTTGATGATATCAACTTGTTTTGTAGTGTTGGAGGTGACAATCTATTCCAAATGTTAGGAATATCTTAAAGTTAGGGTTTGAATTTAAGCAAGTTTCAAGTGAATGCGTAAATTATGTAATCATATATTCTTATGAATTAACAAGTGAGTGAGTGGGAGAAAAAGAGAAGAAGATGCCATTACTACATAACTAAATGGGACAAAAAGCTGGAAAAAAATCGAATTTTGTGACATCATTTATGACTTAAATCACTTGCTAAGGGGAACAATTTTTTATGTCAAATTGTCAATGGCCAAAAGAGAATTAGGGGTTTTCCTTGATTGTCCTCAAATGTTTACACTTTTTCTATGGGTGAATCTGTTCGGATTCCATAACCAAGTGTAGAACCATCAAAAGTAATATTCAGATTCTGAATTGTTCTATCATAGAATCCATTTTCCAAATTATTTTGTGTCTATGTTTCCAAATTATTTTTTCTATCATAACAAAGCCTTAATTAATTGTTTGGTTCATGAAAAAAATGAAGAAGTTTTTAATTTTTTTTTTAAAAATAAAAAATGAAAAAATATATAGCTATTCTTTTTATCAACATTTTAATCTTATGCTATGTTTGGTTCATAAAAATATGAAAAAAAAAAAGAATAGAAAAATAAAAGTTAAAAGGTAATATTCATTGAAAAATAGTGCTTATCTTTTTAAATAGTAGCATTAACAAATTATAACAAAATGACACATTTCTCTCATAAAAAATGACACATGTGAATTGATAATAACACATTTAATTTGCCATAGTAGTTTGTTGATGCTACTAAAAAGATAAGAACTGTTTTTCAATGAATATTACTTTTAAACTTTTTTCTTCTTTCTTTTTTATTTTTTTTTTTCATATTTTCATGAACAAAACATAGCATATAAGGCTTCCTCTTGGTTGAATCACAATAGAAAATAACATGTGAAAGAGAAAGAGAATCAAATTCCCATTTAGAATTAGATAAGAAAAGATCAAAATAGAGGGAAAGAGGTGGGGGACCAAATGCCCATTACCATTACTTCTTCAAAAGGGATCACATTCTTTCTCCCCCCCAAATCATTGTTGTCTGCATTGTGGAGTGCCAAACAGACTCCAATTACGCAAAAGCATTAGATTAATTAGCCTAGCTAGACCATACAATAATTCTCCACTAAAGCACAAGCAAGAAAATTAACCCCGCAAAATTAAAGTTGTCCATCTCTTCATGGACAATGATTGGTGCACACCCGGATCCAACACCGGGTGTGCACCCCCCACATAAAAAAAAAAAAAGATGGATCGGGTGATGGGTATTTTTTTTATTTTTATATGATGTGTGCACACATCATTTTCCTCTCTTCATAGATTAGGGTATACTAAATGCTAATTGACTGTCAAACTCTTAATTACTGATATTTTTGACACTAGTGGAGTTTTAAATCCCGACACTCATATTATCCAAAAACAATGTAGTTAAAACTTTCGTTGTGTAGTTAAAACTTAAATTTATTAGAAACATATAGACTAAGTTAAGCGAGGAAGTTGAAGGAAATATATGTAAGTCTCCTACTTTGTCCAATATCTGAAGTTCGAATTTATTAGAGTAGATGCAGTGAAGTTAATATTCCTCGTGCTTGGGCCGAATCAATATATTTCAGTTATGACATCAAAATATTAACTAACAACTCTGTACAATTTAGACAAAATACCCAAATCCACCCCCAAAGTATAGTGGTAGGTACAGATCTACTTTCGAACAAAAAATGGAGATAAATTCGCCCATAAAGTTTTTCACTTGGATAAATCATCTTAAATTTAACATGTATAATCTTAAATTTAACATGTAACGTCATTTGATATCAACAATCTATTAATTTGTTATGTCATTAATAAGTTCATTATTAACAAATAGTTGATATCAAATAACGTCACACATTAAATTTAAGGTGATTTGTCCAACTTAAAAACTTTGTGGATGAATTTGTTCTTGTTTTTTGTCTGAGGGTAGATCCGTTCGTGCCATTATACTTTGGGGGTGGATTTGAGTATTTTGCCTACAATTTACTATCTCCATTCCAATCTATTTATTTGGTAGTAAAAAATGGTTGTCTAAATTAGTTGATGGATATATTCTCCATTTTGAAGCACTGATGATTGTGCAGTTGATGTATTAAGTGAATTTTCTTGTAAGTTTAAGGCTTTGTTTGTCGATAATGTGTTACACTGTGCATTATGTTGTAGTAGTAGGTTTTTTTTTTTTTTTTTTTAAATATATAAAATATTTAATTAAAATTAATAAAATATATAAAAAATTAATTAATTAAAAATGATAAATATATATTTTTAGATACAATGCTGTGTAAAAAAAAGTTGCTACAAAGTACAAACAAACAAAGCCTAAATTAGGACAATAAAATCATATTAGTATGGCTTATGGTGTAGTAATTTAGTAATATTTAAGACAAATAGAAGGTAACAACCAACAACGCTTCTATAAAGTCATTTAACATTGACTTAGGTATTACAAATAGAGTTTAATTAGTGGACTATAGTATTGTCATAACATGACAATTTTGGAAACCGAATTGGGGTTGACCAAGTAGTAAGTCTCAATAAATGATACTTACACTTCGATTTAAACAGGAGATAGTTAATCAGATAGTTTGCATGTATTTATGAAACTAGTTGGATCAAGAGTCTATGATGAGAATCAAGTTGACCCCACATGTATCACGTCAAAAGATCCATTACACAATCCAGGAGGTCCAGTCACGAGAGGTAGAGTTAGGAAAATGCGAGAAGCTTTAAATGGTCTTACTGAGTAGATCTGAGTTGATAACAACATGCAACAAGTAAATCAAAATTTGGATGATTATCAAGGCATGGTAAACATCATTCAGGTTTAAGAGAAGCTTAATTGAGGTAATTTATGCTAAATTATACAGTTTGCGTCAAAATCTTGCAATTCTGTCACAATTTGTAACAAACTGATATTTCATGTTACTTTAAGTTTTTTTCAGTGATTTTCACGTTTTTTATATTATTTTGGGCTGAACATTTATTTATTTGAGACCCAATTTATGGTTATTAGGATTAGGGATTAGGGATTAGGGATTAGGATGTTAGTTTTCTATTCTGATTAAAATTACTTTTCCTTATTTAAAGGGCTTGTAACCCTAATTGGGAGAGTCATTGAATCTGAGTTTTTGAGAGATTTTTTTCTTTAATTTGTTTTAGAACTTTATAAAACTTATTAAGATTATTCTTGTGGCATTTTAACTTGACTTATCATTCACATTCTTAATCATTCGAGGGTGTAGTGTCAACCAACTTTATACCTCTGGTTCTTGTTGCATCCTAGACAACGAGTCGAGGTTTTTACCTTTGGTTCTTGTTGCGACATAAACAACATGTCAAGATCCTATTATAAACCTGATTTGGCTTTCCTAGAGTTTAGAAATCCTTTGTTATGCTGTGGTTCTCATTGTTCTCTTTAGGGTTCTCATCAGTCTAAATACACATATTATATATAAGAATTCCACAATTTAGATCTTTGGACCTCTATTTTTTCTTTTTTTTTTTTAGTATTAACCTCCCAGTATCTAGTAATTACATTGTGTCCCGATTAATTCAGAATCGAGCGGCATTGGACCCTATTAAGGGGGAAGCTCTTCTAACGTCTGTTTCTCCATTCACAAAACTCGAACTCAAAACCTTACTTAAAGAGAATCGAATCTTTTCCACTTAAACCAACAAATTGTTGATGTACCTCTAGTTCAATATATAGAAAAGAGCACATTAACGTTTTTTTTTTTTTTTTGGTAATGAGGGAGGGAAAAAGGGAGCTTTGTGTATTCAAATAAACACTACTACATAATATTAAAATGAGGGGTTTGTCTAATATATATTTTTAAAATTATATTAATTATATATTTTTACATTTAATTTATATAAAAAATGATAAAAAAATTTAACTTTATTTTTATCATCAATGTTACATACACACTTTTCATAAGTAAGTTATTAATAAAATTAAAATTATTTTTTAATTTTTTAATATAAATTCAGGGTTTATTTAACTTGTAATTTAAGGGTATATTAAGTACATTTTATTATCATAAATTCGTATTAAAAAAATAAAAATCAATTTTTAATTTATTAACTGTCTAATTAAATTCATTACACACTAAAATTAATATCAATTTTTATATTTTTTATACATTTATTCTAAAAAAATACTTTTAGAGTACACGTTAAAAAATTCCATATATTAATTATAAAATGTAAATACACCCTTAACTTTTACTCATGCTTTTAGAAATTTTCTAAAATGAATGTATTCTAGATTGAATAATGATGTGTGCACACCCGGATCCCACACTCAGATGTGCACATACCATATAAACAAACAAAAAAAAAAAAAACCCATCACCTGGTCTAACTTTTTTTTTTTTATGTGAGGGGTGCACACTCGAACGTGGAATTCGGGTGTGCACCAATCAGTGTGCTTCTAGATTACTCATCCTCAGATGCTTTGTTTTGGATAATGAGTAATTAATTAGTCATTGTTGATCCCGGGGCGACGCATTAAAAGCAAAAGCAATAATTAATCAAATCTTGGGTTTGGCCGGCTTCATTAAATCCTTTAAACAAAAGCAAGAATTAGGTGTCATTAGTTTGGTGTCTTGTAATGTTGGAATGGTGGTGAGTATCCTAGTTTGATTTTTCTGGCTTTGTTTGGACCGCCAAACATGGTCTCTTCTTATCTCACCGTCACATTCTAGTCAAGCTATATGCTATATAGCTCATCTTCAAGATCCATCCTCCAGGAAACCGAGCACTTTATTCCTAACTAAAATCTTTATTCCTAACTAAAATCTTTATTCCATGGATTTGAAAAGAATGAATGATTTGTCTATATTCAATTGCATTTAGTTATTTAATTCAATTAAAGACAAGTCATCTGTCATACGCAAGAAATAGGTTTGAGAGTAGAGAATTTTCTCTTCCAAAACAGAAATATGGATATCGTTTTAAGCTGGGTTTCAATCAAGTTCTAAGAATAAAGTGATCTTAAGTGCAGGTTTGGTTGAGAGACACTTTCCCCCAACTTTACAAGAATTTTTAAGCATTTTTATAGTTTAATACCATAATAAAAGAATTTCCTAAGAAGAGAAAAAACTACTATAATAAAAGGAGGATAAAAATAATTTTTTTATTTTTTATTTTTCCTAACACATTTTGTATTAATTAATTTTTCTTCTCATACTTTTTTGAAAAGAAAAAGTTTTCCCTTACTTCTTTACTTGATAATTTTTTTATATTAATTTCTTACCCAATACAAAAATGTTAACAATAAAACAAAATTTTAACAAAATTTCATTACAAAATTTATCTTTTTATATAATACTTTTTAATTTTTTGTATAATACTTATTAATCACTTTTATAGTCCAAACCTTTCTAATAAAATTAATCTCTAACTAGATAAACTATGAATGGTAAATTTTGATAGCTACTTTCCCAATACATGAGTTAAAGAATTTGGGATCCAAATCTAAAGAAGGATAAGGTAAATAGAACAAAAACATTAGGTACATGTTCATACGGGAAAATGATGAGGATGAGGGGAAGACAATTTGGACTTGGGGTTTGGATAAGAGAAAAGAGATGAAGATAACAAAAGATAAAGTCTCTTAGTGGGTGAGTGTTTTGGTTGGATCTAAGCCAACTCTTGATAGAGAAGTGAGAGGTGACCTTGACTTTTAATTTGTATCCTACCTTCATCATTACAAGTGACAAAGATCAAATGATTGTTTAGTCCAGCTTATTATTATTATTATTATTATTATTTAAATAAAAAATTATGAACCTTTTTATATAATTTCAAAATACAATAATTTTTTAATGAAAAAACTACTTAAAAAACACTTTTATAAAAGTCCAGATTAGACTAAAATGAATTCAAAGAGAAAAAAAAAAATCATAGGAGAGACAAAGTACAGAAAGGATGTGGGGATAAGTCAAAATTGATGGCCCTACATGCACCTCGTCCCTTGAGTTTCTTTCCTAATAATGACCATTAATAATGAATTACCAATTACCTTACAGAAAAGGAAGAGAACAGGAGAAATTACCCAAAAGCAGAAAGAAACAGATGGAAAAACCAGAACCAAACATGCTTTAGTTCAATTTGAAATACAGGTTCCATTGAATCCCAAATCAGGTCAGCTTAGCTGATACAATATTGAGAAAGTGATAAAATATTATGGTGCTTGAAGGCACAGTTCAGAAAAGAAGAAGTCAAGTTTATTAATTTACTGCCAATTGTTATTGCTTAGCAGTTTCTTTCAACAAAATTTCCTTGGGCAAAGAAAGGAACCTGTTGAAGTCATCTGTTTTTGATGCTCCATTTTGAGATATTTGTTTAGTTATTTTCAGAAAAAATTAAATTCAAGCTGATACAAAAGACTTTCCATTTTTGTTTATCAACCCTACCTATAACAGATGCACAAGCAAGGACATTACAAAGTTTTTCAATGATAAGTACGTCAAAGTAATCCAAATTATAAGTTAGAAGCCCTTTTAAAAAACCTATGTTTAACCTAATATCTACTTCTAGGCTACAAAAACTTTTCTAAAAATAAAGCCAAACAAAAGAACTAAAACAACCGTTAAAAAACTTAAAAAATTTAAACTTAAGATTGATATACATGATAAATTATACAATAACAAAAATTTTTCTACATTAGCTTAACTACTTAATTTGAGATCTTTACTTCAATTTTAAATTTCAAATTTTTATCGATTCAAACCTATATTTAGGAACTTAATTTAGATATACAATAATTAAATTTTAATATAGTAGAAAGCAATAACTTCATGAAAATGGGGTGACATTGTAAATTCAATCGCAGTTTTGTCTTTGTTGGACTGGGTCTATGGGATTGGGGACATTGGAGGACAAGAAAAGGAGGGGACCGCTGGCAGCAGCCATGTTACAACTTACAAGGATCATCAACACACACAGTGCTGACACTATAGCTGTCTTTATTTATTTATTTTTATTTATGTTCTTTCTGTGTTCCCTAAAGTCAAAATTTTAATCAAGTTGAGTAATATATAAGACAGTGTTTGAATTCCACTTTGCAACATCTTTTGTCACTAAAATCATTACCCTTGAATATTTCATTCTTTGTTTTTGCATTTATCATTTTTTTTTTACCTGCGTAAAGGTTGTACGATCTTTGTTAATAAATTTTATTTCAATTTTAAAAAAAATTGAATTGAATATGAGTGGCATTAACCACGTTAAATATGTACGTTTTTCTTTTTTTTTATCGGATTCGATCCCACCTTATATCAAATTGTTCAAATATATATATGTGTGTTTAAATTTTATTTGAAAATACTACATACAATATTTTTTTACAATATATTATCTTAAATTGTAAATTTATCAAAAATAATTAATTTTAATTA